AGTGAAGTTGTTGACACATCTCTCCCAACCATCTCGAGAATCGTTGAAACGATTGTCGTCTGCGTATCGATCTGCATCAGATCGATACACTACTCGTAACGGTTTACTGTATTATACAGCCGTTTCTGGTGACACACCACGTGTTGTCATTCCAGATGATACTAATCTGCGTTTGCGGATCATGTTCGAGTATCACGATGCTCCTATAGGAGGACATCGTGGCCGAGAGAAATATATCTCACGGTAAGTCGAGACTTTTACTGGCCCCGCCAGTATCAGTTTGTGCGAAAGTATGTTCGCGCATGCGAAGTCTGCCAACGAGTGAAGTCAAGTCCTTCACTGCGTGCACCTTTACAGCCTCTACCGGTTCCGGCGGAGTGCTGGGAATCCATCTCAATGGATTTCGTCTTCGGGTTACCCAAAGACGCACGCGGGAATACGGGTATTCTCGTATTTGTTGACAGATTCAGCAAAATAGTACACCTTGTGGCTGTACCAGAGTCAATCACAGCAATTGGCTGTGCTTGTGTCTTTATTGACACCATCTTCCGACTTCATGGGTTGCCCCGTGAACTCGTATCAGACAGAGATCCACGATTCACTGCTATTTTCTGGCGTTCCGTGTTCAAATCACTCGGAACGCGCTTGAAGATGTCAACATCTGATCATCCAGAGTCAGATGGTCAGACGGAACGTGCCAATCGTGTCCTTGAAGAGATACTTCGAGGATACGTACACTCCTTTAAGAGTTGGAGTGAGTTTTTGCCAATGGTAGAGTTTGCCATTAACAACTCGGTGCATGCGTCCACGACACATACACCGTTTTACGTGAATGGCTTGCGCCATCCGCGTGTACCCACCTTACTAGAGTGTAACTCTGGTTTAAGGGGGGGAGGGACTCGCGCGAGCAAAAACCAATTTGGTTCACGCTCATCACGCTCTGACGAAGAGGTCATTGCGTTTGATGCCGATATCGATAACATCGATATCGAAGAAGATGATGCCAGTGAGAGTGCGGAAGCCCTCACTGAAGAAGATGATGCCAATGAGAGTGCGGAAGCCCTCACTGAAGAACAGGTTGATGTTGCTGCAGTGCGCTCACAGTGCACTGAAGCTAACGAGTCATCAGATGAGTTCATACTGGCTCGTGAAACGGTAGTCCGTTTTGTGCAAGACTCCATCGCCGAAGCGGTGGATAAGCAAAAGCAAAACGCTGACAAGAATGGAAGGGCAAACACTCTTTTATTTAATAAAGGTGACTTAGTCCTACTGTCTACGGTTAATCTACCAAAGCATGTAGTGACTAACTTGGGTAGCAGTAAACTACTACCCAAGTACATCGGCCCATTTCGTGTATTGCACCGCCTAGCCAATGCATACACGATCGAGTTGCCATGTAAGCTGCGAACGCATCCCACGTTTTACGTTGGTCGGCTTAAGCCGTACCATCAGTACGCTGCTTCTTCCGATGAAGAACGCCCTTGCGCTCAAGCATCTCGCAGAGAGCCTTGTGCTCCCGATGGTGGGCATCGACAAGGGTCTGAAGAGCAGTTATCTCATCCCGAGACCGATCAGCAATCCCACGAGCTACCCTTAGCTCGTCACGAAGAGATGTCAGAGATCTCTCGTTCTCAAGCTGAGCAAAGGCAAACTCAGCTCGATGCTTCGAGGCAGTGTCCACCATTTGGAGACGCCTATTCCGCTCATGCTCGAGATCGTCGCGTAACCCTTGCGTTACGCGATCAAAGAAGCTCTCGGGAACACACCGATCCACATGATCGTGTGGAGAGCGTCTTTCCTCCTCCTCCACCTCTATTAGAGGAATCTCGCGGTGGCCAGCGCTATCTAGTTGATCAGCTGTTGAACCACCGCGACGTGAACGGACGTCGGACGAGTTATCTCGTCCGGTGGCGCGGCTATCCCCCGGCCTGGGATTCTTGGGAGCCCCGCTCCCAACTGATGATTGACGTACTGGGTCTGGTTGAGCAGTACGACGCGGCACATCCTGTGCCGCAGAAGGACCGCCGGAGAAAGTCTTCCCGGCACGGTCGTAAAGGGATTTCAAGTTGTCAATCCCTTCGTACATCTCAATCGAGATACGTACGCGCCACCACGGGCTATTAGGGAGGTAAGCCTCCTTAGGTGCTCGTGCAGAGTTGTTCACACAACACGGGCACGAGTCTCCCCAAGAGAGGCAGGGTAATCCTTTCTCCCTTGACAGACGATGCAGCTTGTAGCGTGCACCTGTCGGGGTTCGCTTTTCAAACTTATCACGAGCTTTGATAAGTTTGTCGTTCCAAGCGTCACGACCTACATCCTCGAGTTTATAAATGTAGGTGTTCCACGCCTGAAGCAGTGAGGGACCATCACGCTTGTGATTCCCACTGTACCATCGATGTCTAAAGAAAGCATCGATGAAGAATTCATTCTCAGCGCGATAGTTTTTCGCGCTGGGGTCAAGGTGATGGATCCTTGACGAATCGAACAATCGTGTTCGATAACGATCACTCGTCGTCGCCGACAAGTGATCCATTACGGATTTCAGAGGCATCCATGCCTTCTTTTCTGGAGCGAGACGCAACACATTGTGGTCCCGCTCTTCCTGCGATGTGCCGACAGAAGTACTGGCACCTCGTTGCGAAGTGGTGTCCATAGGAGAACCGACACCACTGTTAGCGCCCGAGTCTCGCGACCTCGAGCGCCTACGCTTCGGCGATGGTTCATCTGATTCATCAGATGAACCAAAGATGCTGCGACGCAAAGCATCGTCCATGCCACGCTTGGCAGGCGGCTTAGATTCAATCGCCGTCAATACGGATCCGTCTTCCGTATCAGGAGAGTATGAGACACCGAGCTCATACTCTGTGAAGACATGAGTGTCTTCATGACTAGCGCCTGCATCACCAAGTGACACAGGCTGAGTCGCTTCAGCAACCGATGAGACATCAGTTGCTTTGGTTTCTACTTCGGCGTCCGCACAAAGACGCGCGGACGCGCTCTCGGCGGCCTTGCCCGCGCATCGCATGGGCTTGTTAACCATGCGATGAAATGTTGGGAAGTGGACTCGGACCAACAAGTGCAAACCCTGTCCCAAATGATTTGGGACGAGTATCCATTTAGTCAACCAGTCACTAAAGTGACTGATGGTTAAGGGTGGGTGATGTAACGGGGTGAATCGTTACATAACAATTTATAAGAAATTGTTAATAGAATATAACTATAAGAGTTATATTCTCAGAATATTGTCATAAGGACAAATATTCTGTAGCACTTACGAGTAGTTCCTAATTGGTTGATATAGGCCATCATATCAACCAACGAAGACGCGCCACGACAGACGCACGCAATGAGTGGTGAGAAGATAGTTGATTTACACATTTGTATTTAGACATAGTTAGATGAAGATAAATAGTGATTTATTGCAGACATTAACTATTATAAATACAGTTCTACTTTTTACTTTAACCAAGTACTCGCTTCTTCTTACCGTCTTCCTCTGCACGTACGAGTGTACGTGAAGTTACGAGGCACCGCCTTATTCTGTCATCAGAATAAGTAGTTTGTACTGTCACCAGTACAAGCTTCAGGGTGCCCCGTTACAGTAACGCCATCGTATTCGAGCACCGTCGGCCTCACTCGTTGACCCAGCACGTTTTCAGGCTTTTAACCACCTTTGCTGCCCATCATCGTTTCATCCGTCGCAAGGAATCTGTACCAGCTCACTATCTTGATCAGTTAGTCGATGTATTACGTACCAACCGAACTGGTGGGGTCGTCTTGCGTCGATTTCCGCGTCTTCTTGATACACGTGATGTTAGGAAGCTAGTTTCCACCCATATTCTTCGTGGCATTTTTGGGTGCTCACTTTGAGCCGTATTGGGCGGTCACAAGTTTTACCGCCATCTTACCTCTACTCAACGCGTCCGTTGAACCTATATCTGTATCCCTAGTTTTGTACAAAGTTGAGTACTCATAAGGCCAAGTCAATACAGCCGTTTAAAAAGAAAGGCTTGTTCTGGCAATTTTGTGCTATCTGGTATACGTCATACGATTGGCTCTTATGGCAATCAGGTGCTATCTCTTAAACTTTAGCCAGGTCGATGGTGGCGTTCCCGTTCTACTAATTGTAATATGCCAACTCGCTACCAGGGTCGTATCTGCGACGATTTAATGCATCATTCGGTGCTGGTAGAGCGTATCCTCACACCAAACTGTTCTTAAAAAGTCGCACCGGAAAATAGATGCAGGATAACAAATGACATCGTACATTTGTCGGATGAGCAGCCTCGTTTAGCTAATTATCTTCGTCGGTTTCCATACACAACGACAACTCAGAGGAGTAACCGCATCATTGAGACGGACTGCATCGCGATTCCGACTATCGTAAACTTTTCACTTCATTAATCCATGCCAGAGAGCTACACGAACTGCCGGAATAGTTCTTGTGTTCCAGGTGCATCTTGCATGATATGTAGACGAGACAAGTCATCTTTGTCACCCGTATAATTTGTGTGTTGCGGCAGCTATAGGGAGTGGTGTCTAGCCAAATCTGCATGCAGTTTTAGGCGTGAACAGTGCAAGTTAATTCCACCGATCCGGTGCGTCGACACGAACAAGTTGCGACACGTCTTCCACGCAAACTTTCCAAAGAATACACCATCCAAGTGGTGCCTGTGACTCTTGCTTATCGCGATGGGGACAATGTGCAGTGAGACACAACGACCGCATTGCATTAAACTGCACTCGTGCTGTCTCCACGGAGAGATGATAGCAAGCAGGATGCCACACAGTCAACAAAAAGTCGGGTGCAGGGAACGTACACACAAATACCGCATCACGTGACAACAGCAAAGCAGGACTTCAGCGCGATGGATGTGTCTGTTTTCTTGCCATCTTGCTTGGAGATCAGTGCTCCATACGAGGAGTTATTTTCACCCATGGCACTTTCGGCTTGTCGAGAGTAGCTGGATGACACACTTGAGTTTGACATTCCAGTCCAGTTACCGAGTTGCACTTGTCGTGCCCAAACTCTCAAGATACTCTACATATTGGACGGAATGATCAAGAAGCTCGCAGTCCCGAGCCTTGTGCCAATAATTCAATATCAAAGCATCCAGATACAAGAGCTGCCGCGCAGATATACCACTTTCTCCATCACATTTTCCTTGCACATGCTCTGAAATCAACGGGTCTCGAGAATGACTAGTAGACATTGCAGCATTTCGACAAACGGAAGCAGCATTGAACAGGGATTCTTCATCAGTCATCTTTGGTTCACCATGCTTCGCTTGACTGTCCCACCCTCGAACCTTCATCCATATAGTGCACGCAGTAGCTTTATCATCTTTCCTCCAAAGCAACAGCACGAGATTGAATTGCAAGACGACAGAAGTAGGGTACTGTTTCAGTCCATTGTGAAGAAGCAAGAGACCAGCATCGACACCACGATGACATGCTGTGACAACCGCTAAATTATTCAGCAACTGCGAGTGACACGATGCGATATCTTTAGACTTTGCATGATCAATAGCACTCGGCCGTTGCATCAATGCTTGGATTTTCGGCTGGACAGTCTGGCTTAGGTACTCGAAGCAGTCATTAACGCGTTCCAAGCACAACATAGCATCAGCCCTATACAAATGGAGCAGAAGCAATGGTACTTCATCGTCGTTTGCGTGCGCAGCATCATTGCGCTCGTAAAGCTGTATGAACTGCTCGCATCTTAAAAGCGCTAGTGATGGAAGGCTGCACTGCTTGACCGACAGTTCAGACAGAATTAGGATCGTTACACACCGAGTAAAAAAAATGAGCATCATACCTGAAGCAGCACGTAGACATAGTCCTGAGCGACATATACGTCTATATTCGATGAATTGCACGGACCTTCGCGATCGATCAACGCTTCAAAGTGATTTTTCGACACATGCCAACTGCCTGATACGACATGGACGAGAAGTCAATTCTTCCTTATCAAAATCTGCTGCACAATGATTACTCACCATTTTCCATTGCTGCTAAGGCCGCACGATGGTGTACAGTCGGCGTGTCCAACACACTCATCCGCCGAGACAGAGATAACGACGCGAGACAAGCATCTTCGAAAAGTGCCGTAAATGATGTTGGCGTGCCAGCAATATCAGCAGCATCACTTTTCTGTGCTTGTCCGTGGTCCACGCCTTCACGAGAGTTCAATACCGCCTCCAGATGTAGCTGCTGCATGTCAATATTACCCATTTGCTCCATCAAGAGCGAGTAGTTTACCAATGACCCTGAATGCGTACAATCGATTTGCAACGCACGCTCAAGGTGCTCCGTAGCTGCATGGTAATCCTGCATTTTCACGTTTGCAAACGCCTGGAGCGACAGACACGCAACAGGTTCATAGTTTGCTCGAATGCACTCATCAAGGGCATCAACAGCGTCACTAAAAAGTCCATTGCGAATCAACACTACTGCATACCAATAGAAAAAGACATGGTCGCCAGCTGCATTAGTGGCGTCACGACATTTCTCCACAACGTTGCGAAAACACTGCAAAGCTTCATGGTAATCCTGCTTCTCGACCAATTGAACCATCCCAAGTAGAAACTGTGGCCACTTCTGAAACTCTTGGACCGACTTGTGCTCCGAACAGAAGTCGGTGCACAGACGTAACAGCTTCTCGACTGCCTTCCCTTTTCCCACTCGATCGTACGATAACCAGCTCATTGCCAGCAGTACACCCACTTTCGTCATAACTGCCACGGCTTGAGCCGGCAATTGTGATGTTTCGTAAAGTCTGTTCAGGAGTTTTGCGTATTTACTGCAAAAGTCTCGATTTTCTTCAGATAAAACAGCTAAATCTCTGCTTTTAGCGTCTTGGAGGCTTGTAAATGCACTCGCTACGGCTGTTTCCAGTAGAAACACGCGCTTTTGCCATTGGGATGTCCGTGCAGGAGCTAAAACAGGTCGATGCTGGGCAAGATACCCCACCACTTGACTGGTTACGTGACAGACGCCAATGGCAAAAGAATCGCGAGTGATCGCAGAGCGCCACCAGGAGTCGCGCAATTGTCTCTTGACGTCTTCCACGTGACGAATGAGGTCGCTCTCGCTCAGATCCGAGCTGTCCGTGTCAGTTACCAGCTGCAGCAAGGGCGTTGCCATCCAACCGTTGTCACAAAAATCACCTGTGACAAGTGATATACAAGTGAGCGAGGTCGAGGGCAGTGCATTAGACTTCACAGTCGGAGAGTTGAGAAATATGACATACGGTGGGTTAAATGAGTCGTGGAGTATTAATTTATGAGGTGCTAAATGAATATTTGCGAGCCCGAAGGGTGGAGCTATTAGGGAGTGTGCGCAAGGTTGAATGCCGAGCTTTTAACTCGTACTTATCTGTGCGTCAGTGTCTGTGTGTGTGCGTGTCTGCGTGTCTGTAAATAACGCGTTATGGTGTACCTTACACCTACTAAGTACGATCTAGCCTGTCACCTTCTCATAGGTATACAGGTTTATTCGAAGTCACTCTCTGGCTTAGACAGCATCGTGATGCACGCCTGTGATTAGCTTAAAATCGATCAAAGCTTTGTGAAAATGATCACAAAAGCAAATGCAAGACGCTGGTAAGACAAGGCAGGTTACGTTGCCCAAGCATACTTTACTGGATTCATCCAGACATCAACAGGATTACGCTCATTCTTTAGTGACTGCTGTCGTATACTGATTCACGAATTGATCCAGTTTTCCGAACTGGATAACTTCTATCAAAGGGCGAGCTCCATTGCGCTTGCGTATGCATTTAAGAGTCTGCGACTTTAGCACTGCGTGGACTGTTGTCATCATTGTTCACGGACTATTATCATCATTGTTGACGATTGTAAGCTGGACATCATGCAACAACCGTGGGTGCGGATGTCTCGTGGAACACAGTCTTACTTGCATCATTAACTGCATAAAATATGGCTGCATAATATGGTTCATAGACATCGAAATGCCCATCAAGCTGTGCATCTGCAGCATCAATGAAGTAGCAACTGAATATTCAGCAATGGAACTACAACATGACATCACCAGGTGTGTCCCTGTGGGCTCTCTTGTCATCTGCTGGGCAATGTTGCAATAACGCATAGCTGCAAGTACGTAACATGGGCACAAAGCTCAACGGAGCACAACGTAAGGCTGAAATTGCAAGTTAATATCGAGAAGGGTCAAGCCTTCCAAACGGCTGACCGTCTCGAGGTACATACGCAGGCTTCAAGTAAAAAGTCGCACATGGTTCAGCAGCACCAACTTCAGCGTCCAATGCTCCCTGCGCGCACGACCAGCATCTCACTAATCCCTGTCGTGATGATCTGTCACACTTGCTTGGCTTTCTTGGGACTCCTTGACTCGTCTTCTTCCACAGCTATGGTCTGAATACCCAAGCAAGCATCCTCGATGTACGCCTTCTTTTGCAGCTGTTCCATCCGCACGTACTGCATAAAGATCGGACCATGGTATGATGAAATGCCCATGAAAATGTGCCACCTGCAAACACACGACATCAACAACCACAACTCTCCCGTCCGCAAACAGCAACAGCAACAACAGCAATGACAATCACAAAACTAGCACGTACCAGGCATGGCCTTGAGGGTTGATAGGAAGACCGTGGATAGTATGGCAATAATGGTAGTCCAGGAACCAGAACGTCGAGCCAATGAGCGATGACACGACGTACGACCGCGCGACAGCTCGTGCTCGGGGGTCCGTCACCTCGGTATAGTGCACACACAGCCGCGCACATGCGAGGACCGCCAGGACCCCAAAAAAGAGCTGGAAGACCGTCGTGAAGCGGTAGATGGCGTGCACGAGTGTAAACAGGACGCCGAGCGCCGTGAGACACGCGACGGCCACTGCGTTCGCGTGTTTCATCGGGAGCTGCTCGATCTCGGGGTTGTACACAATGTAGAGCCACGCCAAGACGGACCAGACCATGGGCGTCTCGTCGCACTGTTGGTACACGTGCTGGAGCGTCCCATGGAACATGGCCGAGCCAAAGCCCGTGACCATCACTCCGACGAACTGGACGTGAAACCGGGGCTCGAAGCGCAGCTTGATACTGCGGTAGAGACCGTAGAGTCCGAGCAGGACAAAGAGCAGATTGCTGACGGTGTTCCAGAACTCGGCGACGTAGAAACTGTACTGGTAGTTGAGCTCACACCAGTCGATCGTGGACGTCGGGGCGCCCCAGAACCCAGTGGGCGAGCGAGCGGCTGTGCGGATACTCGATGGCTGGATGGAGTCGGGCATCGGCTTTAGGTCGAGGAATGGCAAGTGGAAAGCTGGCGGCAAAAGCGGATAACGGCGACCAATGCGAGTGAGTGAGTGGGTCGGGGATGGCGTAATCTTGGCGGTTTTTTGATTGGATCGAAGTATTCCATAGAAGGGGGAGTCGTTGGAGCGACACTGGAGGGCTCCAAGAGCTGAAGTGACGCACTGCTGCGTTGTGGTAGTTAGTACTTGCGTGTGAAGTAGCTCGAAAGGTCGTTCGCTTGTTTGGTGTTTAAAAGTGTGTCAGAAGTGCGGCGAGCAGACGGCCACAGCACCAGTCCGACGTGGTTAGTGGCGATTTACTTTGCTGACGGGTCCGTTCTTTTTGTCGAGAAAGCTGAGAATCGCCGTCATGCTGCTCGTGCACGTACTGCAACTGGATTATAAAAGTAACAATTCTGCCGCATCGTAAGCGGAATTTGCAGCACGTCACACTTCCTTTTTGTCTTGGTTACGACTAGTTAGTTCTCTATGCACCATCTGTGGTACACGGTCAACGATTTGTCGAGTGCTAGGAGGAAATGCAGTTATTTGTGTAGTGTCGATCGCGTAAATTACACCGCGACAGTATTCAATTTCCGCTTCTGCGCTCACGAGCAAAGGTGCTTCACACCTCGAAAGCTGAGGCGGAAGAGTATCACTAAGGTAAAAGAAGTCTATCTACCTTCAAAGTCGCACAAGATGCGGCTTTCGTCGGACTTATTTGCAGTATTGCAATCATCACGACGTATCAGCAGTGTGCCACCACATCCGCTAAGCTATTCTTGTTCAGGGGTCGTGTCACGATCCTTTTCTACCAGCGTCAGGTTGTGTTCGATAGTGGATCAACACGACCAGTTGACCCACGCCTCCCCAACTTCAACTTTCTTTTGACAGTGAGCAGGGGGGCGTTACTAAATGCAAGTCAAGCTGGTCCAACTAGCCTGCGATGCTCGGTCGTATAATGCTTACCCATATTTCCATTTCTACCTTCTTGGTGCTTATAGATCTTGCTTATGGTTCATACGCCATCTGAAATGAGCCACGAAGTGTAATATCTATCTGGGGGCATTTCACCATGTACGAGGATGAGCTCAGCTCATCGCAGAGCTTTTTACTTGACGTTATCACTGATGTCGCATATACGTGACTGTGTCTTTGGCGTGCCACAATTGCGTATAAGGTACACATCCATTGACACATGTTTGACGATGCGCTCGGTCGAGGCTACTCGTCGTTGCGGAAAGGAAGCTAGGAGGCTGAGTGTTGCAGTCGTACCACTGAATTTTCATGTGGTCGCCATGAAGTTACTCCCCCATACGGATCATTTGGTTTATGACATAATTTGATCATTGTTACAGCGGCCTTGCGCAAAGTTAGCCGAAAAGAAGCGAGTTCAAAAGAGAAGCAACAGGGTTGGGGCGCATCTAATTAGTCGGAGTGCTTGCTCGTGCATGTTACGCTACGTACGCACACTGACGATAGAAATGCATGGAATATACAATAATGACTCCATTCGCCAAACTGGTCTGTCTGTATTCTCCGTACAAGGAGAAAAAATCAATGGACTATCATACACACCAACGAGATCTGGACAATTTACCTGAGACAAGAGGTCATCACTACCAGACGAATCGAAAGGGACTCTGCACATCATATATTATACCACAGCATGTTATGATGAACTGTAGATCCATATTTGCCCTCAGCCATGTCGATAGAGGCTAGTTGGCATGTACATGTGCGCTTCGCTTCCAGTAGCAAGAAGCTTGTGCTGTTGCTGCTGATTTTAATTGCATACATGCCCTAGGCAGCGAACATCTAATACTACTGTTTAGGCGTGTGTCGACAGGAGGCGACTTGACTTCGCCAAGTTGTGCGTACTGTCATCCGGATCTGTAATGTATTGATCGATGACAGTTGACGCCATTGTTGATAGAAGATGACTGAGCGATTGACGGAACCGCAGATGCGACTTTAATGAAGCGGACGTTGTCAAGAAAAGTCGTGTACTACTCTTCTGTTAGTGTAAGCAAAAGTAGAAAAGATTCGAGCATGGCGGTCTGCACCCCTTTACAGAGAGATTACACTGAATCCTTACCATTTCGCCAACCATCGACATGTAGCAACATTAGCACAATTCTCACCCACAGCTGCCCCCCCCCTTGCTACTACTTTAATTATAGTACGAAATTCACTATTACTCACAAGCAGATGTGTAGTCAAAAATATTTTTTGGGTATGTCGCTTGTAATATATTCGCTGATCTTTCATGTGTACCACATCATCCACGGACTTTATCCATTTTGTCGCCTTTTGCGTCGTCCCTCCCCACTTTACTGCTGCAACTCTTTACCTCAAAAGTCGCTCCCGCCAAATCCGAGAGATCCACACGCACACATGGCGCTCAGCAAACCGAAGGAGATGGTGGCGGCCGCCACGGCAGCGGGTGTTGGTGGTTTCCTGGCAACGAGCATCTTGTACCCTCTGGACACACTCAAGACGCGCATCCAGTCGGGGTCATCGCTCTTTCCCGAGAACGACGACGACGACGACGATGTTGAAGGTGACGCCAGTGCACCCAAGCGTAAAACGAAGACGATCGTGGCACTGATCACGTCGTTGTACCGTGGTATCCAATACAAAGCGGTCGAGTCGTCGACCTCTAAATTCTTATACTTTTACACCTACACAATGCTGGCTCAGCTCGTATCCCCTCCCAACGGAAAGCCGGTTGGTCCGTTCACGGATTTAAGTATCGGCTACTTGAGTGAGCTCTGTCATCTGCCAATCACCATGCCTATGGAGCTAGTAGGCACTCGGATGCAGACGGGCGGGTCTGAAAAAGGCAACATGATACAGATCCTCTGTGCAACTATAAAGGAAAGCGGGATTGGAGGACTCTATAAGGGGCTCGGAGCGTACTTTGTGCTGTGTTTGCAGCCCGCAATACAATACACGGTGTTTGAGCGACTCAAGGTCTTGTACGTACGAAAGTTCAAGCAGACAGCACAGACACTTGGCGCACTAGAGGTAAGCTCTGACTCGTTAATGTTGAGAGAGCGTCCAATTGCTCTAGTCCTCAATCAACGTTGCTGTTATAACAGGCTTTCGTGATGGGAGCGATTGCACGGTCGTTCGCCACGCTCGTTCTGTTCCCGTACATTCGGGCCAAAGTGCTGATGCAGACAGAGAAAAGGGGACCAGATGGTGCGGGAGATGTCAAACAAGAACACGGTCGTGGCGTCAGGGCAAGAGAAGAGACCGTTGCGTCCACGCTGCAGCGGGTTTACAAGGAGGAAGGCCCTCTCGCGCTCTACCGTGGTCTTGGACCGGAGCTTACTAGGGTATGGTGCAGGGCTGACTAGCCATTGAGTAAGGGCGGTGGGGCTGATTGAATTGTTGGTGCTGCTTGGAATCTATGTAGGGAGCGCTCTCGTCTGCGCTAATGCTCATGCTCAAGGAAAAGATCCAGATGCACATTGTGATGCTCATGATGGCCGCCAATGCGGCGTAATTAACAAAAGGTGAAAGATACTATGCGACATGTAAGAGTTCATGACGGTGGCGTCTGGCTTCGGCAGGCTCTTGCTCGTTCGGTCACGTCTGCGTGCATTCAGTTGCGAAGCAAATGAGCTACGTGTCGTCCACGGACCCCTTCGCAGAAGGTACCGTCGACGTTTCCATCGACTCGTAGACGTAAGTGCTGTAAACAAAGTTGAAGAGCAACGTTTTAGTGGAAATAGTTTCGGAGGACGACTAAATGTCTTCCAAATTAAGTCAATTCGTGGGCAATCGGCAGTAACTTTATGCCATGAGTTTCTTTCGATCTGGTCGCCGTGATCTACGGCATCGGATTATTATGACCAGTGCTTAACGTGGGAAGCAACGGCAGTATTTGCCCGACCTTTACATGTCACCCAAACGACTGACGTAGCCAGCCTCCGCCCATCAAAATAGTAGGAGTCTATTCCTGTCGTGAAACGACGGTCTTCGACGATCTACAGTTTCTTGGATTGATACTTTGAAGGCTGGAGAAGACGTTTTGGAGCCCGTTGGTAGTGATGGTGTTTTTTTGTTCAACTCGTTGGCAAACCGACGTTGTCGGTTGATTGATTACTCTCCCCTCGCACATTACCAATTTCGAAAGAGTATGCGATTTCAGTCGCCAAATCTGATATGTATACCGTCGACACGTATCATGTTTGCAAGGGTCATGGGTTTTCCTCGACTCGCGCGCGCGCACAAGTCGTTTTCTGTGGAATTTCCGGCCTGTTTCTAGCGCCACAACCGGACGACGACTAGACCATCCCATTGTATGCCACATAGAAAGCACGAGTCAGCCGGCATGTTACGGCCAGAGAAAGAAGGCAGAGCACAATCGACGTAGCAGGCGCGTCAGCTACGGACGAAGTACCGGAACGCCTAGCACGTGTCCAGAAGGACCTCGCGCACTTGCCAAGACGCTCAGCTGTTCGTGGCCTCGTCCATTGCCGTCGTTTCCAGCCGTTGCTTTTCGGGCCGCACCGACCGACCGATCGCCAGTGCGCGCGCGCACGCGTAAAAAAAGGCGCGTTGCCGGTTGCCCTTGCCCTAGTTCACGACGTTGTTGCGCCAGTTGAAGCAACCGTCTGTTTTATTCTTTTTTCGGTTTCCCTTTCGCCCGCTCGAATGTGCTGGTGGTGCTGCATGCGCGTGCTGGAAAAGTGTCTGCCACGGAACGACATTGTGCGGGAGCTCGCGCCCTATCTGCAGCACGTGCATCAAGACGAGACAGTGGACGACGAGACGCGACGCGGCAATGGCGACGCGAGCGGGCCGTGGGTGCGGTCGCAGTCGCCCCAAGGCGTCGACAAGGACTCGGCCACGTCGAGCGACTCGCTGCGCCACGCAAACGGGACGTACCCGCTGCGCCACAGTCTTGACTGTGAACTGAGTCTCCAGCCCGAGCACCGAAGCAGCACGTGTCGTCCGTTTGTGACGAAAAATGTCGAGCCATTAGAGACCCAAGCAGCTAATCGTACTTATCAGGAGTACGCGGCCACTGCAACGGTCCAGAAACAGGCGAACAGTCGCGGCGCGCCGGACGGGGGATTGCCGACAGTGGACGGCATGCGGACCATGCTCCTGCGCGGCAGTATACAGCATCCAAGTCAAGAGCGGACGAACTCGACGCTGCTCCGGACGGAAGCGGAGAGTAATGGCGGCAGTAGCACGCAGAGCTTGGAAGCGTCAGGGTCGGAGTATTGCGGCACGGGGTCGAACGGGACTGGAGCGATTGGCAAGAAGCCGTTGGTGTCGAAGATTAAGACGGATCTGGGCGACTTGACGCCCGTGAGGTGGGAGAAGGTGGTGATTGTGCAGGTGTCAGTGCAGGGATTCCGGGAGATGACGAGTCAGGCGAAAGACTTGATGGAAGATGCCAAGCTCTTGTACGAGCACACGGTGCTGTCTCGCCTGGCGTCGGAGTATGGCGGACAGGAGATTTTGAGCCACTCGCGGTCGGGGCTCTTTGTCATTGCGTTTGCCTCGGAATTCCATGCTGCCAAGTGGTGCTTATCGCTCCAGCTTAGTCTGGTGTACGCTGCGTGGAACGACAAGTTGCTGAAGCAATTTGACGATATGAAGGAGGTGTCGGTCACGACCAATGGGAAAACAAAGAAGAACATGCTGCTGTACCGCGGCTTTCGTGTTCGAATGGTCATTCATACGGCCGACCCCGATATTACTCCAGAGCTGTCGTTATGTGAAGCTGTGAAGTGGACCAAGACTGTGAGTGAATACGCCCACGGAGGTCAGATCGTGCTGAGTGACAGTGTGTGGGATCGGTTGAAGGAGCAGCTTGTCCAGCTGGGCAACCCTGTGGTAGAGGACTTGGGTGGCCACGCAGTTTTAGGGGACGAAGTGCTACTGATGCTGCTTTTACCACGGGATCTCGAGTTGAGGCGCTTTCCGACCATGAAAAGTCCGCATCAGCTGTCCCTGGGTATGCGAGACGCTCCATCGGCACACAAGCCAGTGACGATGGTATTTACGTTTATCGAAGGTGCTCGACCACTGGTCCGTTGTCATGCAGAAGAGCTTGCGGACCGCATCAAGATATTGTGTATGGTAGCGCGTGAGTTACTGCGACAACACAATGGCTACGAGTGTCAGGAATTACAGGGGGACTTTATGCTCGCATTTTTCACACCTGCGAGCGCCATTTTGTGGTGCGGTGAGTTTCAGATACGCATTCGGCAAAAGTTTCGTGAGTGGGATCTTGAGAACGAGAATCAGGAGCTGCGGTTTTCGATGTCGATGGGAATCGAAACTGGCGTGCCAGCGAGCGTTAGTCCACACAAAACCAGTGGTCGCGCGGACTATTTTGGCAACATTGTGAATCAGACGGCGCGAATTGCCAAAGCTGCTCACGGTGGCCAGGTCCTTATTGGTGGTGATGCTTGGACTGCGTTTTGCGACGCACAAGCGATTTGTCGTAGCCAGCAGCTTCTTGCAAAGAATGAAGTGTTGAAGGACGTGCCAGGGTCGACGATTTTCCAGTTTAAGTTTCATGGATATTACAGCTTTAAGGGAATCTCGAAGCCGATTGGGCTTGTGGAAGCTATTCCTATTGACGTGCAACAGCCAGTGTCAGGCTTTGAGCTTGTGGCTCTTGTGCGCGGTCACGTTCCGAAGGCAAAGAAGATTGATGATGCGATTCTTGCTTTCCAAGACAAGACAGTTGTGCCGGACGTTCCGGCGGAGATGGTTCGGTTGAGTCATGGTGGCGAGCAGCCCAATAACTCTATCCGTGAGACGGAGTTCGACTTTAATCTGTCATGGAATGACAGCATCTTCGTGTTTGAAGATATTGACGAAGAAGATGGTGATATAGAAGGAGAAGGACAGGGGCGCAACGACCAAATGGTTTGCGGCAGCGTCGCTCTCGCCATGCGGAATAGCACGTTGAACCACTCGCAGCTCATGGCAGTGTTGAGGTCGTCGGGCACGGATGGCTCCATTACGCCGTCTCAGCGAGGTGTTGCTACCCCTTCTCGGACCGAAGACATGAGTCGAGTATAATCACAAGGAGGATTGCCAGCTTAGTCCGCTGCTCGCTCATTTGTGATACGAAGGGTGGTACAGTATCGTGTCCCGTGTCTTTGTGTGTTTGTGTGGATAGGAATCACCGTGCGTGCACAGGAGAAGAGAGAGGACTATCGGCCAAGCTTGGTTGTACTTGCTACTAAATTAAATACATTGTTTTGGCTGCCAACGATCCGCCAATCGACATGGTTTGACGACGCAAAGACTCTGGTCATGGTGATGTTAGGCATGCTATCGTGGCGATGGATTATGCGTGTCAACCTGACCGCTATTCGTTGCCTAAAATCTTCTACAACGTCAACAATGGGTTTAAATTATTCACAATCGAGGACAAAATGGCCTTTTAGATTGAAGGTGAATATCCCTACACTGTTGCCAATAAAAGGTCGATTTTGTTGATGGTCCCACCCATCCGTCGACTTGCTAGGCCTGAACAACAACTTAATTACGCGAAGGTTGTACGACTCTGCTTCCATAAAATCGTAGGGGTGCCACTCGACTCGAGCATTCAGCTTTGAAGGATAAAATGACGGTCTCTTGTTTGCCAGGTCGGCGATCGAAGGGTCCAATAGTACAAGATGCTTATGAACAGCGCCGGGATAATGAGTAAAAAGGTCTTGGCGAACAAGCAAAAACCAGCGAATCGCTTCGAGGCAAACAAAACAGGAGTGCGACGTTGACCGGCACAACTCATTCATTCAATACGTAGTCGACGCACAAGTACAGCCAGGCAATCAAAAGGCAGACCCACACCAAGATCGCAAACCTTCTCTCTCGTCTGCTACCTCGCTCCTGGTGAGCAATAGAGTCGAGACAAGGAGTGACTTGAATTTCGCAACTCCGACGTGAAGGCACCCAAAAATGAGTGTCCGTGCGTCGGGAACATCTTGGACGCAAATTGAAAAAAGAGGAGTGGCTGGAGACGTGGTCGGGCTGACAGTTGATCTGGGCGAAGCTGTGCCGTGGTCCGTTCTTCTAGTAGATATTGTTTGGTACGCGCTTATTCAGTCAGACCCATGTTCACCTCTCCATTGAAGACGGCGGCGGCCGCCGCAAAACGCTCCGCCTGCTGCTGCTGAAGCTCCGTCATGGCCATCAAGAAAGCTGGTTCTTGCTGGTACTTCATCATAGCAGCCTGGAGCACCTCACGCGTGAGTCCGTGCTTGGCATGGATCTCCGCCGACAAATTGTCGGCGCGCTTTACATATCTCTGGTTGATCGCCTCTTCCTTGTTGTCTGGATTGAGCTCCTTCACCTCGAGACAGACCAGCTCCATGGCTACGTTCAGCGACTCCATAGTCTCCTGCATGATCTCGATAAACTTCGTGAGCGTGAGCTCAGCAGGGACCTCCACATCACTGAAGCCACCACCCGTCATGACGCGGTAAAGCTCCTGGAGCTTGGCCACGGCATTGGCCACGTCCTTGTCATCGTCCTCCTCAAAGTACTCGGTGGCCATCTTCACCTCCTCCTCTGTGGTCTGGAACTTGGCGTACACTTGTGACTCAATGGCCTTCATGGCCTCTTCGAACTGACCCATTAGGTACGACGCCAGCTGGTCCTCAGGTAGCGAGCGTCCGCTTTGCGACGACTCCTGACGGATTTTGGCTTCGAGTTTGGCCAATTGCATCTACAATTAGAAATTTTTGCAATTAGTACGAAACCAATTTTAGCTTTTTTGTTTTGAACTAAATTTAGATAATAATAAAAGATCCTATAAAATGGGACGTACCACAACTTGACCCATTTGTGTGCAAATAGTCTCGAGGATACTGAGCAGCTGCTCTTTGTGCAAATTCGGCACTTCGCGAACACCGTCTTCTTGTTTGGTCTTCTTCTCTTTCTAGAAGTAGAGACAAATAAGGTCACAAAGGACGAAATGGGTAAAAAAACACAGTAATGGACGGACATAGATTGGCGCGGCAACAGCACAGCCAGACGTACGCTAGAGCTGCTCTTGCGAGTGAGTGCATAGACGAGAAGAGCGGCGGCCGTTACGGCGCAGACGCCGGCGATCACGAGCGGTTTCGACACATGCACCATTGGTAGGGGATGCACAAGGAGAGGGAATGTGGTGGTGGTGGTGCTGCGGAGGCCAATCAAGGAGTGGCGGAGAATTGAGTAGCGAATCAAAGTGTTTAGAAAGTGAGACAATAATTGGGTCCTAAAAAGACGGTTTCATGTTTTAAGGGTCAAAGATCGAAATAGTCGGGATAAAAATAGGTCTAACACAAAAGGCTCAGCTGTTTTTATACATCCTCATTACGGTTCAACCCTTCGCGTTGAGCATGTGCCTCGTCGATATGGTAACGGATGAATTTCTTTGTGTCTCGAATAGCTTGGCTGTTGATCAATTTGACCACTATCAACTTCGAAGAGTATGTGAAGTATATCGACAAGACAGACGGCACGTACGCGTTCAAGGTGATATAAGGATACTTATCAGAAAAGGATAGTGCTCTCCCGTTGTCTTCGTATACTCCATTTGAAAAGCGCTGTGGTTTCATTACGAGCTACAAGGATTATTTGAAGGTGTTGCGGTGGTAGCTAGCTGAGTAGCTAGCTACAGCGCGGCCAACACAATAGCAATTTGTGCGCTTCACTATGCATCGTTATCAACAATAATTTCCAAATAAGCAATTGTGTATCTGAATAGACTAAAAAATGGTGGAAAAGGAGCGCGAAAGAATTGAGCTTCGTTTTAGCCTTACAATACATCAGATCGTTTAAATTTGAGCACTCTGTAAAAAAAAGTCACTTTTGATTTGATTGGCATGCAAGTGTGTCTGGAAGACTCGTCAGCGTACTGGAAAGGGCTGTGGCACGGCCTGCTACTGGTGTTTCCTGTGCTTTGTTTTTTATACCGGAAATGGTCGATTGCAGCAGGAAGATCAGAGGTGCAGCAGCCAGTTCTCGGGTAGGAAGATGACGACGAAAAAGCAGTTTTTCATGCCGTGGGATAAAAAGCTATTTTTTGCTGTACTGACATTACATACGTGTTTGTGTGATGACTATTTTTGCTCGTGTGACGATAGAACGTAGGTCCTTAATTCAGTACACATGTGACGTGGTTGAAATCTAAAACAGTGCTGCCTTCTTGCAGGCGGTTCATGAACGAGTTGTTTGCATTCGAGGTCGTCCTCGTTGCTGGCGCTGAACTGAAGGCCGTGCGTGACCAGCTCCAAAGCGCTGAAGAAGCGGCATCGGTGAATGACGAAAAGGTGCATGCACTGAAGGAGCGCCTCGTGGACACTGCTGCTGTGCTCCAGAAGAAGCTGGCGACGATCACGCCGGTAGTGTCGTTTTTGTTGGAGCAAAGTGTTGGCGTTATGAAGACCCACCACGCTCAAGACTTGACAAAGGACAACGAGTCCAAGAAGGACAAATGAGAGGGAGGTACAAGAGCAAGTATGTCATGCGACAGTGGCCTTTCATGATTGACCGCCTCATCAGCTTTTTTTGCGTCATGTAATGTCAAGTGGGATGTTCATCAACAGCATCCTCCGAGGTGGACCGGGAAGATGTCGGACTTTTGGTCCTTTGTTGTCGCTTATAGTGGCAACTAACTGCTAATAGAACTGAAGATGCAGCACAGCGCTCACACTTGCACGATTGATTGACTCAAATGCTTGTCAAGTCACCAGTCATGCGAGATATTGACAAACATGGGCGTCCCATTCTTAACTTCCATCTACGCCTACGAGATCTGGAGACCACGTGAAAGATGCAAATGCTTTCTTTGTATTAAAGTAACTCAGGGTCGACACCTACGCACCGTAGCGTCGCCCCGACGCTCTCCCTAAGCTACTTACACCACAAAGAAGAGGGAGTCATCACCGTAGCACTTGACTTCCACGCCTCGGCCCCTCTTCAAACCCATTAGCAGCCTTTCAGATCGTCCACTGCTTGTTCACCAGACTGAGACTGAGATGACTGTCGAGCCAGTCGCCTGTCCATCTACTTCTTGATAGCAGTCTTGGCCAAAAAGTCCGTGTGCTCCTGGTAAGGCGACGGCGCAAACGAGTGCTGCTCCCAGAGATCCGGCGTCAAGTACGCGTAAGTCGCACGCAGCGCATAGAACGTCGCCTTCACAAAGTTCCCCATTGTGCGCGTGTGGCCACGAGCCGACGTGTAGCAGTCTTCGATGCCGGCCATACCCAGAAGTTTCTTGGGCACAGGAGCAGCACACAAGCCCGTACCACGAGGAGCCGGGATGAGACGCACACGGACAGAGCCACACTTGCCCGTCACCTTGTTGGGAACAGTGTGGGGAGCTCCAACCATACGGCCCCAGTAGCCGCGACGCACCGGGACAAGGGAGATCTTGGCCAGAATAATGGCGCCACGGATCGCCGTCGCCACCTCCTTCGCACACTTGACACCCAAGCCAATGTGGCCGTTGCTGTCACCCACAGCGACAAAAGCCTTGAAACGCGTACGCTGACCAGCAGTCGTCTGCTTCTGCACAGGCATGATCTTCATGACTTCGTCCTTGAGCGACGACTCGAGGAAGTAGTTGACGATCTCGCACTCCTTGATAGGCAGCGAGAAGAGGTAGATCTCTTCGAGCGAGCCGATCTTGCCTTCTTTGACCAGACGGCCGAGCTTGGTCACAGGGACCCACTCCTTCGACTCTTCGCGGCCGCGACCACGGCCACGTCCACGGCCGCCACGACCACCGCGGCCACCACGGCCACGGCCAAATCCTCCACGTTCTCCAGTCGGTGCAGCGTCAGCCATTGGCAAGCAAAAGTCCTGTTTCTTCGGGGCGAAATGAACGAATACGAGCGGGTCAATGGATACGTCGTCGCCGTGCTCGCTTCCTGTCCAGTCGATTAGGAAGGTGGAGCGAAGGTACACTGTACCCACGAGATGGTGCGCATAAGGACAAGGTCGCACGAAAACACGATGGGCAATACGCTTCGAGCAACCGCAGCAACGTTAAAACTGTAATCACTCGTTATTCTGTCAAATTTAATAGAGTTAAAAGCAGCTGTTCATTGCATCCTCAGAGACCACGAGTCGAGGGCATTACATAACCTCTCGAAACAAATACATTACATGTGACGCGGTATTTACTGGACAAATGTGAGGTGCTGGATACAGTGTGTACCCTTCCCTGAAATCGACGTCAGTGCTCGTCGACCGGACTGGACCATGATAAGGGCGACGACGGCCTCCCAGCGCCTCCGCCACGACCGCTGCCTGCACTTGCTTCACCACGTGCGTATAGAACTTCGACTTGCTGTCTCTATAGTGGCGTCAGTAAATACGTTCTCGTGCCGCCGTGACCCTCTCTAACTTGATGATTGTATCGTGTGCTCGTGTCTCGTGTGTGATAGCACCTGTCAAGCTCATTGCAGCGCACTGGCGGGCGCGCTAGTGCTCGTCGACTGCCGCAGACTTCAGTGGTGCACACGCGCCAGTGGCTGCAATTCAGTCGTCCCCATACTTTGTGTACGTGGTTTTTTTTTGCACTGTCAGCTTTTGGTCTTTTAGTCTTTTGGTCTTTTGTGTGGAGTCAAAATTAGGTGCTGCAGTGGTACTCACGTGGTACACGGATACGATATGGGTACAATGGGTATCATTGTTGTTTGTTTGTGTGATGCAGTACGAGAGACCAAAGCAGATAAGCCATGGAGCTGGACGACGTGGCTGCAGGAGAACATTCCCAAGGGCTTTGGCCGCTTTTATCCGAAGAATGGAGGCAATGGTGGCAAGATTAGTGGCCCACCAAAAAGTGCCCCAAAGGCTGGGGAGAAAGGAACTACGGACATCAAGAAGCTGAGCTCAAAGACTTCAGAGGGAAGCAGTGGGGCGAAAAAAGGATCGTCAGGTAATCGTGGAGGACCCAGCGGCAAGGATGGTATGGCTTACTTGATACCGGCCGCTGTAGCTGCTATGTTTTTGGCCGACTTGGCGTCGACGGACAAGCCAATGCAGGAAATCACTTACCAGGAGTTCCGAAACTCTTTTTTAGAGTCGGGGCGTGTGGAGAAACTAGTGGTGGTAAACAAGAAGTACGTCAAAGTTTTCTTGAACGATACGCTGGGTGCTTCGTCGTCTGGAAAGGGTAGTGCAGTGCCCGGTAATGCCAGTGACATGTCGGACTGGCGCGATCCTCATGCCAAAGGACAGCACGAGTACGATTTCGCATCCGAGTCGGAGTATCCGGCAAATGATGTCAGCGGTCGCGGACTAAACGTGCCTGGTATGGGATCACGTGGTGGCGCATCTGGTCGTCCAACCTCGAATCCTGTGTACTATTTCAACATTGGCAGCGTAGATGGCTTCGAGCGACAGATTGAGCACGCCCAGCACCAGATGGGCATTCGTCCGCATGACTACATTCCAGTGCAGTACACGAACGAGATCAGCTTCACTGCGGAGATAATGAAGTTTCTGCCGACGATTGTACTGATTGGCTTTTTGCTCATGACCATGCGTGGTGTGGGTGGTGGTGCTGGTGGCGGCGGTGGTGGGATCGGCAACATATTCAAGGTCGGCAAAAGTCCTGCCAAGAAGATCACCAAGGAGGACATTAAGATCACGTTCAAGGACGTGGCTGGTGTGGATGAGGCCAAGAAAGAAATCATGGAGTTCGTTGATTTTCTTCGCAACCAAAAGCGTTTCACGGACCTCGGTGCCAAGATCCCGAAGGGTGCCCTGCTGGTAGGCCCGCCTGGTACGGGTAAGACGCTGCTGGCGAAAGCCACTGCCGGTGAAGCTAGCGTCCCGTTCTTTAGCATTTCTGGATCAGATTTTATCGAGATGTTCGTTGGTGTGGGCCCATCCCGTGTGCGCGATCTGTTCAAGGAAGCTCGTGCGAACGCTCCGTGCATTGTTTTCATTGATGAGATTGACGCAGTGGCGCGTTCACGCAGCAAGGGCAACTTTACAGGCGGCAACGACGAGCGCGAGAACACGCTTAACCAGCTGCTGGTCGAGATGGATGGATTTAACTCGAGCGAGGGCGTGGTCGTGCTTGCCGGTACGAATCGCGCAGACATTCTTGACAAAGCCATTTTGCGCCCTGGTCGCTTTGACCGACAGATTACGGTCGATGTGCCTGATATCAAGGGCCGTCGTGAGATCTTCAAGGTGCACCTAAAGGGACTGACGCTGAATGGCGCCGTCGATGACTTTGCTCGTCGAATGGCTGCATTGACTCCAGGTTTTGCTGGTGCTGAGATTGCCAATATATGCAATGAAGCGGCTATTGTAGCTGCCCGACGAAACGGTACAAGCATATCATTCAAGGACTTCGAACAAGCCACGGACCGTGTGATCGGTGGACTAGAAACAAATCGCATCATGTCGCCGGATGAGAAGAAGACGGTGGCGTACCACGAAGCTGGCCACGCTGTTGCTGGCTGGTTCCTGGAGCATGCGGATCCGCTGCTGAAGGTGACCATCGTACCGCGTGGAAAAGGCTCTCTTGGGTACGCGCAGTATCTACCAAAGGAGGTGGCGCTGCACAGCAGCGAGGCTCTGACTGACATGATGTGCATGGCGCTTGGTGGCCGCGCTTCCGAGCATGTGAACTTTGACGGTCGTATTACCACGGGTGCATCCGACGACCTCCGTCGTGTGACGCAGATCGCCTACTCGATGGTGCAGTTGTACGGAATGAACGAGCGCGTAGGACAGCTGTCGTTTCCGAAGGACGAGAATGCATACGCGGACAAGCCTTACAGCGACAAGACATCCGAGGTCATGGATGAAGAGGTGCAGAAGATTGTGCAGAATGCGTACGAGCGCACCAAGCAGCTATTGATGGAGAAGAAGGCGCAGCTGCACGAGCTCGCTGAGGAGCTGCTGCAGCACGAGACGATCAACCACTCGGACATTGTGCGAGTGCTGGGGCCCCGTCCGTTCGGCGGCAACAAGACATACACCGAGTTCGTAGAGGAGTCGTGGAAGGACGCTGACAAGTACGAAGCAGACAAGGCTGCGGCATCCAAGGCAGCATCCGAGGCAACGGCTGAAGCGAGTGAGAGCGAGGAAGAAGCCAAGACGGCGTCGACTAGCGAGAGCGACGATACTAAAGACGACGATGACGACAACAACAACGAGGACAAGAAGTAGTTACGGCTCCAGCACTTACTTTGCAGACCTGATGCGCATCTCTAGAATAAACGACCAGGGCGACGATGGTTGCGTCGTACATGTATTGATTGAGCTGCTGCTGTCCGCGAGTCGACGTATGTACACGAGTTGCCATCACTTCGAACACTGACACACTACTGACGGCACTGGATCTCCTCGACTGCTTTCTAGGTAAACGTCCACCCACCCACGCTCTTCCCCTCCACTCACCTGCTTGACTTCCTGGTCCACTGCACACGTTCAACTGGCCTTCAAGTGGCTCTCCGCAACGCGCTGCTCTCTCTCACTCTGCTGTGGCTCGACTGGCTTCGTCTTCACATGACATTGCGGTGCCGGAACCGATTGCGAAACGTGAACGTCCGCTCGAGATGCGACGACACGTTGAGCGTCCGGACCACCTCTTTCAGCGGCATGCGCGTCACGTCCACGTCGTTGATCGCACACAAGACGCTGCCCTTCTGCACGAGTCGACTGTTCTCGATCGTGCTCTTCTTGCCGTCGTAGTGACGGACGAACCCGTCCACGACAGGCGCGCCCAACTCCTCGCGGTCCAGTTGCAGCACGAGGCCACACGGGCCTGGCGGGACAATGATCGTCACCAATGGGTTCGCGCGCTGTTTCCACTCGTCTTCTGTGACGCAATCGTCATCTTCCACCGGGTCCTGAGTGAGGTCGAACATAGTGTGGTCCACACTCACCACATCGTCCATCATCGTTAAGTGCGCCTGCTGTCGTCGTCCTTTCTTTCGACCAGCGACTCCGGCACTCGCACTCTCGTCATAGGTACACCCCGAGTCGCCCCCTCGACTGCTCTCCGTGGGGCTGCCACTGCTGTAGCGAGAGCTCAAGAGCGTGAATTTACTGTGGGGACTTAGAGGGGGCTCCTGCAGCTTGGCTCGGAACGCGTTCGCATACGCCTGGGCAGTTCCGTACCGTCGGCTGTAGCTGTTGCCCATCCCCTCGATGGCGTTGTCGTCGTCGTCCGACAGCGCGTACGTCTCGCCCCGACGGAGCAGCAGCGAGTCGTGGTCCACAAGCTGCTGCTGCTGCTGCTGCTGCGGTTTGTGGCGGGCACTCGCGTGTGGGAAGACGCCGTAGGAGCTCACGACGGCAGCAGGCGCGCGAGTCGCTTGGAGACCATTGAGGCGGAGGCGGCTGAAGCCGTGGTCGTCGCGGCTGCCGCAAGTGCATAAGGCGGCGCCCATGAGCAGGTGTCTATATGAATGACTGTATGTACGTGGACTAGTGTAGGACGCGAGACGACGAGATCTCCAAAAGTGGCTAAACGGTAGTGCGCAATGGGGACACGCGCGGCTCGGGTCGTTTTCGAAAACCTGTATGTTTCCATGCCCTGTCGTTGTCGATTGCGTGAGAGTAAGAACTCGAGCAGGTGTTGAGTGGTCGAGTCGGTCGTGGAACTTGATTTTCACGCGACATGTCGCGCCGGCATCTGCGTCGTAGTTCAAGTGCTGCATCCATCCGGTGTGTCCACACTGTCCGGATGCAGAGCAGTGTCTTTCCGCAAACGTCTCGTCAGACGTCCAGCTGAAACAGGTCAGGACCTCGCGCGTAGAAAAGACGAGACGAACTTTCGTCATGAACGAGGGAGTGACAACGGGCGCGACCTATCGTCAACTGTAGCCACTTGTGTGTTACCATGTGCCTGATATGTGCAAGAGGCATTGCTGCTGCTGCTACTGCGGCGGCGGCACGGGCTGTTTACCAACTTTCACTTAACATCTCCCTATCCTCCGGCGGCAGAGAAAGAACTGTCTCTGAACAGCAAGTGCCGTACCGGGCACACCTCAGACGAGCCGTCGGATGCAACATGGTCAAGCGACACGTGGGAGAGTTGGTGAAGATCGGAGCGTGTTGTGAGGAAGTTTTGAGCGACTTTTTCTTGCCATGCGGCTGTGTTCACTCGAGACTTGTCGTCTGTGACACATGTCTTTCTAACAGGCGAGTGCAAGTGTCAGCAGGAGATGACACCGAACGCTCTATGGCAGGATTGTGCTCACGGGCGACGGAGGTCTGCGAACAATCGCGTCAAATCGACTCGGGCTACATTTGCTACCACAGCTGCGGTACATACGCTGTCATCCTTGATGAACAAGTGCAGCTATAGAATGACAACAACGGAATGTACTGCATGTAGCCCTGGCTGCGATCCAGAATTTGAGAAGTAGCCGCCTCAGGCAGTCCGTACAGCTGCTCCCTTGATTCGATTTCAGTCTATCGTAACTGTAGTTGGATGGGTACCACATTCCTTGGTAACGTCGATAGACTACTGGACACAACTTGCAAGGCTTACGTGTCTCAAGACCCAAGTGCTCGATTGACGTGAACGACTTGAAACCTTTCGACGTTGTTCAAAGGGTTTTGTCAGCATGTGAGGATTGGCTCGTCTGAAAGACCATGCTTCAACAACAACTTCCTACAGGATTGAATGAAGCTCGTGATGTTATGCTAAGACAAGGGTTAACGCGAGCACTTTCTACAGCAGTAGATTACGAAACTTAAGTCAAAGTGCAAGTGGCAGTGTGTGAAGTCGAAATTAGAGGCCTGACGTACTCACATGTGCTGTACTCACTCTAAAGGGCAACCACCGTAGTCTTAGCATCCCTAGCCCATTAAAGCAACAATGCGGTCAGAAGCGCAAAAAAAAGCTTGTCTTCGCTTGGATGGCAAGTCTTCGTTGTTTTTACCCACTCTATTCGTGATGGCACGTCTTTAAGGTACGCTGAGATCTGTTGGTGTGATGTAGTCCTATGACGGAGAAAGAGAACTTGTTTCGAGCTCATTGTGGTAACACACATACATCTCCCTCCTCGAAAATGCTCCAAGCGATTTCTTGAAATATCTGCCCAATATACAACACATGAAACACGTGTCTTGATGAAGCAAATGGAGACTAATGGGTGTAGATGACAGCATTACGAGAGCACCTTTGTATCACAGGGGTACGTCTCGTCGACGCTGTGACAAATATGGTGCCGCCGGTCCGAGGAGCGCAAGCTAAAACTATGTCTACTGTTACTCATTGAGTTTGTAATCATCAATTTATCAATTGGTGAATGGTCTCCGGAACTTCACGCTCTCCATCAAAGTAGTAAAGACAGCACTACATGAGAATGTGTGACGTGGGGCATTATTGCAGCTGTTTGTGTGATCAAGATTTCCGTAGATCTACTCTAGGAATATAGTGGGCTGAATAGTGTGTATCGCATTATTTAAAATGCACACACTTTGCATGGGCTCCTGTTTCGGAATTCGACAACACAGATATCGACAGATTTGTGGCGGCGACCACCTCTTCAAATGGGTTTAGAGCTTAATCTTGGTAACATTAAATTATAAAGAGCGATTTTCAAATTCTATGGAACATCCATTAATTCATTCAACTCGTCAAATAATACTTAAACTGATTTTAGTATGAAAAACTAATTTCTTTAAAAAACTTTTAAAATTAAATTATAAATCTTTAATAATAAATCAAAAAGTAAGATGGCTGCTCTCAAGCCTACCTACTTGTTGTAATAATTTTTTCACTTCCTTTTTTGCTTAGAATATTATTTTGAGACCTTAACGATCAATCTGCAAATAACACCAAGCCCGAGAAGTGTACGAGTACAAGTTTAACGGGGTAAGCCTGTTGAATTAGATATAGGGACTGACAGGGTAGACACCCCTTACTTGCTACGCGGACACCGCCTAGATTTATCATTAATATAACAAGAAGACAAAAAAACAATGTCCCATCTAATCACGAAAATAGACAGATGATTGGAAAATAATAAATGCCCTAGATAATTATAAGATAAAAAGTGCCCTGGATAATTAGATAATAAAAAATGACTCAAGTCCTAGTATACTCATGTTATAGTGCCTTTACATAAAAATCCGCGTCGCCAGTCATTTCTCATTAGTCACTTTCTCTTGACATAAAGGTGAGGGGCTGCTCGTCGTCGCTTTCCATTGCCGGTGTGTTAAACCCTAGATAAAATGTTATCAATATCCTGTATCAGACCAGCGGAGGTAATCCTCAATAAAGTCAGCTAATAATGTGTGTTAAGAAGGAGTCGGCAATAATCTGCAATACTGATAATCGATATACCGTACGATTCCTAAAGGATAAATCTATTGAGTTTATTGATATGATAAAATGCTCATCACAAAACTCGCTAATGAGACGGAACAGAGATGCCTTTCCATAATCGAACCAACAAAAGCAGCGCCAGCGTACCTGTTTTAGCAGCAGTAGAAGAAGTAGCAGCAGCAGCCCCTTACTCTACACAAAAACAGCATAAAAACGCAACAATAATTCAGCATAAGTGGCAGTACTACTAATTACAAACAAGCACCTACTGCAGCAACAATAGGAGCGCCAGCGTACCTGCAGTAGCAGCAGTAACAATGAAAACGGGTGCAACTTTAATAGCAGTAACATTAGAAACGATGACTACAAGAACCGAATCAATTACATCAATAAAAGTAACAGCAACAAGATTCTACCTTTAAGACCGTGGACAATGATAAGGACGCGTGCCACGTCTTCCCATTGTCGTCCTCGCGCGCGCAGAACCCTGTCCAGGACTGCTCCTATAGAGCGGCGGTCGATATCGAGAGAAATTCACAATGAGAAATGAATGGCGACATGGGGTTTTATGTGTACCTTTCTAACAAAAGTAACTAGAATGTGGGGCGTTCTTTAATTTCGTAAAGAATAAAAAATTAGTCTATTTTCCCGATACTTTTATTTACAACGCGGACACAATTATAATACAGAGATAAAATAATAATTAACCTGCAATGCCGGTGCCTCTCATAACAACGCGAACATCCTATAATTAAAGATATAATGAAGTATTTGCAATGAAGTTGTAAAACGGGGCCACACGTCCGTTATCGTCCTCATGGGATGTACCTTATGCATGTGATATGCAATCCCAAGTTGTATCCGTGATAATGATGTGGTTGATAAACTCAGTCATCCATTGATGACAGGTTGAAGTATCATCCATCAATCTGTAATTGACTGAAGGTTACAATGCGAATCAGTGTAACCTTGGTAGTTGAATGATGTTTATCACAGATAAACTAGGAATTAGAAGTTCCCCTTTTGATCGTTTGTTGCCACGTGTCTAATTAAGAAGTCGGCAGATCAAACAAAGTAAGATCCGTCTTGTGGCGCAGGCTCTAGTAACTCTTGTGCGAGCAATTCCTTAGAATCATTATCAGTCCCTTGACCAAGGGCTCGAAGCTCTACGTGAAGTGGGGTTAGAGACTGTTACGTAGCCTACACTAAAGGACTCACGAGGAAGCGTAAAGAGCACACGTGTCAGCGTGTGCTGAGTGCAGGTTATTTCCACTTTTATTTTTATATCTATGTGTTTTATCCTAAATCGTCATAAGTACGAGTGGTTTCCAAGCCACGAGATCCACTCAACTAAAAGTCGTATCCTATTGGCTAGTAATGGGTCTGTACCAACTACTTCTCAGGATGGGTCTACGACGCACTGTACCCACTGCCTTTGGCTACAGTGTATAACTACTTATGTATGCGTATACCTGTGGGGTATACCTAATCGTATACTGATTAGAAAGATCTTAACAAGTAGTGTAACGGCCAAACCCCGTTACACTACGATCGTGACGACTCTAAGAGTCTTTGTTGACTAATTGTAATAACTATAGACTCTTTAAATCCATAGAAACATTGTTTTGCGATCTTGAGTGAGTTTGAGAGTCATTAGTCTTCCTCTGATTAAAGGCTGTGTAGCTCACTACATGTGGCCCACTTAATGTATAGAAAACAGGGATACATTCACACTGCGATACAGAATGTTAGACGCCCGTCCAATCCTTTACTTCTATCTCTACCTTACCACACCTCACTTTCTATGTATAAAATATTTGTGATCTCGCCTTAATTTGGCATGATTACCATTCGAGTATCTTGTTTAGTTGGATCCGGCGACACTTGCGGCTAAAACTATGTGAACATCAATATTGAAAGGGAAGAGCAACAGGTAGCTAGAGATAATTATAAATAATATAGGAACTGAGCTCTGCACTTTTGCTGATAAATTTAGTATCATCTATTCAACCTTACGTTCGATCCATTTAAAATCTTACTCTGTTCGCACTGCACTTAATGCATGATCCACCGTCAACCGACACTGTCACTAAGTCTTTATGGAGTGCAGACAATGCAATTATCTCACATGGTCATGTCCAAGGGTACATATGCATCGGTTGAGATTCAAGTCGTCATATTGCAATGTAGAATGCTCACACGTAGCTTAAAGTTTGCAGGAAAGCATTGTTAATCGCCAATCATTATAGCAAAGCCCTGTACCTGTAGATGCTATAGAAGCGCAATATTATACACGGTGAAACTTCTTCATCGGCACCAGTGGAAGAGAAAATATGTAATGAAGAAGTTGGATGTCTGCATCAGTGTAAAATCTCACATCAAATTTATCACCGATGCCTTTCATTGATAAGTTTGCCGGTGTGGCTGTCAAACCTGAGATGGAACGAACGACAACACTACATTGTACACAAATATACAAATGAGGTCAAATTGTGTAAGAGGGATGACCACAATAACGTAAACTGGGCGCGCCGGCGCTGTATCCGTGGCCTACACGGAATATCGCAATGTTCGACGGGTTTAAAAGGTCACGTTTTACGTTCAGGGGGACACCAGCTTAGTCATATAATTGTATATATTTTGTCCTGAGGTGCCCACGTAGTAAGTAGGAGGTGCCTACCTGGTCAGTCTCTTAATTATCACTCGATACTCGTTCATTAGAAAATTGTCATGAAGGCTCATACTTTCGTAAATATTACGAAAAGGGTTATTATTTAGAGGTACTCGCCATTTGGACGATATGGGCCGTCATATCAGTCAACTATAGCGATCCAATAAGTGATGGACGCGAACAATGATTGGTAAAAAAGTTTAGCATCCATTTATTCGGTAAATGTAATTAAGTTAAGACTAATACATTGGATATTAATTAGGACTTAATTATATTTCATCCAGCTTTACAATCTACATCTATTGACCGCGTCGCTTTATATATAGCCTCACTCTGATTGTAAGGTGTACGTGAAGTG